TAGATACAGAAGTGATAGACTCCCAGTCACAGGATGGGTCACTACTGATGACTCTAATTCCGTCGAATATCAACCTTCTGCCATGGTGCTCTGCTGCGGGGGGGGAGGCAACCTACTAGCCGCAGAGGGCATTTTAGATGTCAAGGTTGCTATTGAAGCGGATTGGAGAGGTCTGGAGTGTGCTAGATTCAATACGGAAGATGGAGATTTACGGTTGGTAAGGACGTCTTTGGNTGGGAGACCTAAAGTGCACTCAACTGTTACAAGAAGTCCACCCGGAGATGGTTATATACAACTTGGAAAGTGATAAGGACAAAATCAAGTTAGCTATGGAATCTTTGATGACAACTACAGCAAAGATAATAGTGCTGGACTGCTCTTGTCAGTTTTTACTATCAAAGATATGGACACAAGAGATATATGTGGCGGTGTCTCAAGCTTACTATGTTGAGTCAGCAGATCTGAAAGCGATTCAAGTGAATATCCCATCTGGACGGAAAAGGACGTACATCACCTTGGTGAAAAGAGAAAAATTTCTGAGAACAGAAGAAAGGCTTTTGGCATGGAAACGAGCGATCGAAAATTCATGTGGGTCTGTGCCGTCCCTAGGCAAGTTTTTGGATACAGGAGGAACTTATTTCTTAGAAAGGAGAAGGGCAGAACGTAACGTTTTTTTCTTTGATGAGCCTACACTAGCGTTGTCGAGGACTCACATAATGGGAAAGAAACCTCCAAGTTCAGCATACAATATCCACAAGTTGGATTCTAGCAACATCGAAAAAGCGGTTGAGCTAGAACTAGAAGATTTTAAACAGATTCTTGCATCGAGGCGTGGGTTTGTTATAAGTGTGCCGAGCATTTTCCGTTGATTGGTATTCGTCAGGCTTTTCCAAGCGAGTTTTTTTTTCGTTGGAGAGGAGCTTTGATGCTCAAGAGATATCGCACATCTTTTAACGCGGGGAACTTTCTGTTAATGGGATGGATACTCAGCGAGGTCCAAGTAGAGTCTTTAGAATTGTGCGGCAACGCATCCTCTTTTCCGACCCTCGTTTTTTTCTTTTTTCGCAGGTGAATGCTGTTGGTTGTCTCGTATTGGATGCCCAGCCGCAATCGTCTTTCGTAAAGAGTGTTGTTTCTCTCCGCTTCACTCGAGTTTTCTTGTCCTTCTAACGAGTACATCTCAAGCTTGAGAACTATCCAATGTTCACCGATGCGGAGGTTGCCCACATTTGTGGCGGGATTTTCGCTCCTGGTGATCTTGAGTGGAAGCAAGGTATTCATGGGTGTTCTTGATTTTAGTTGCAAGTTCAGAGCCAGAGGCAACAGCCTTCGACCGAACGTATGCGCACGCCCCGCTTCCCCTTGACGACCCATGTTCGGTTCAACTTGGGCCCGACCGCAGCTTCTCTGTGGCAGAAATTCGGCAGCGGGTGCCAAGATGATCGTAGCAATTATTAGTGATTTTCATTCAAAGCCGCCGGCGCTTATTCTCCACCGCGGTCCATTTTCTCGGACGAGCCCCAAGCTCGTGTGTCTTGGGAATCAACCGTACTCCAGAGCGCACGAGAAGGGCACAAAAATGATCGCATTCATGGCGATGGTGGTGTTTCTCAAGCCGTTGATCAACCCTAGCGCTCTCTCCGCTACACCCTTGTATTTTGGGGTGTGAGGGAGGGTGAACTCTTGTTTGATGCCGTGTCTGTGGCAAACTTCCGCAAACAGACCCTGGAACTCGCCGCCACCGTCGGTACGTGCGATATAAACCTCACACGGAACCCCTTTCGTTCGGTAGTCCGCGAGGAACGTCTTAAACCCAACCGCTGCGTCAGACTTGTGTTTCAAGAAGAAAACACGCGTCCAACGGGAGAAATCGTCTCTGATGATCAGTGTGTACCAGTTGCCACCAATGCTCCTGGTTTTCTTCTTTCCCCCCAAGTCGAGATACACGCGAAATAACTTCTTAACTGCGCGTGTGCTCGTGCTCTTCTGGACGGGTTTCACCTGTCCCTTGGACATCGAACAGCCAAGGCAGGGTAGCAGCGGTCCATCCATCAGCTGCACTTCCTGCTGCTCCACCGTGATCCTGAGCAATGTCTCGTGGGCATGGCCGTGCGCGAGGTGGTACTCGTTGAGGTCAGTGGGGTTGTCTACTTTCGCATCGCCAGGAACAATGAGTGCGGCACAGGCGGTGTGTAGCGTTGGCTATATTTAATAGCCTCGTTGGGTCAGCAGCTTTCCAGTCCGGGGGAACCACATCTCCCCCCGGCTTTCGTGGTCAGCGTGAGGCCCCCCTTCATCCCCGAGTACGTGTGGCCCTCCTCCGCCAACGAAGACAGCGAGAGGAGGTTGTAGGGGGCCTCTGGTACATGAGCAACATTCAGTACTGGTACGGGTACTCCACCATCTTCCGTTTGTAGGACTAAGGTCACATCTCCGTATCCTAGAAGAGGAACGGGGGCCTTGTCGCCTCCGATCCGCTTCACCCAACCGCTACGCTCACGATAGTTCACGAAGTTGTCTGCACATCGGAACATGGAGCACGTGGCCGCTGTGTCGGCCACGTACACCGCCTGGCCTTGTTCCACAACCCCGCACTAGANTGTCTACTTTCGCATCGCCAGGAACAATGAGTGCGGCACAGGCGGTGTGTAGCGTTGGCTGTATTTGATAGCCTCGTTGGGTCAGCAGCTTTCCAGTCCGGGGGAACCACACCTCCCCCCCGGCTTTCGTGGTCAGCGTGAGGCCCCCCTTCATCCCCGAATACGTGTGGCCCTCCTCCGCCAACGAAGACAGCGAGAGGAGGTTGTAGGGGGCCTCTGGTACATGGGCAGCATTCAGTACTGGTACGGGTACTCCACCATCTTCCGTCTGTAGGACTAAGGTCACATCTCCGTATCCTAGAAGAGGAACGGGGGCCTTGTCGCCTCCGATCCGCTTCACCCAACCGCTACGCTCACGATAGTTCACGAAGTTGTCTGCACATCGGAACATGGAGCACGTGGCCGCTGNTCTGGTACATGAGCAACATTCAGTACTGGTACGGGTACTCCACCATCTTCCGTTTGTAGGACTAAGGTCACATCNCTGCTTCACCAACGGTACCACACTCGCCTGGGAGGACTGCCACGGCATAAAATGCCTGGTCTTCCACGGAGTCCACGTCGCTCTCATGCCCCACCACTTGCGCTAGGACGGCCTCCTCCGTCACGCACTTTCTTTGGTGTGGCCCCACCCCTCGCAGCGCTCACACCACGGCACGAAGTCCTTCTCGTTGGTAGTGCAGCCGATCGCTTGATGTCCACGATGTCCACACCTAAAGCACCGGCCCGGGAACTTATAGTCCCCGCCACCGCCGCCATCGGCGCCTCCACTGCTGCTTCCCTTGCTCTCCTCGACTCCTCCGGATCCGCCTGAGCGGCCGCCGCGACCGCCGCCGCCGCCGCCGCGACCGCCTCCGCCGCGGCCACGACTGCTGCTGCGGCCACGGCCGCCGCCACGACCACGACCTTGCCCCTGACTCCTACCTGAGTACCGCTCCCTGCGGCCTTCACCGTCGGCGAAGTACACTTGCTCTGCGCTCTTCGCCCCTTTTCCTTTTCCCTGCTCCAGCTTGTCCTTGATCTCCTTGTATTCGATTATTACTTCCTCAAGCACACCGGTCCGCGTCAACTCCTTCGCGTGTCGCAGGTTGTGCTTTGTCATGGCATACTCGTCCGAAAGGGCATCCAGGAAGAGGTGAAGGACGAACGTTTCGTTGACAGTTAGTCCTTTCTCGGTTAAGGACTTTGCGGTTCGAAGCATCTCATTTAGGGCGTTTTGAGGGTTTTCACCTCTAGAGATCTTGGTCGACGTCAGGGACTTGAGGTCCTCTGACGGCTGTACAGATGATTCAGGGTCGTGTATGGTCTTGAGCTCATGAAGAGCTCCCTGGGGCGTCTCTGCCCTCTTCATCATTTCCCGATCTTTTTCTTTCAACGCGTGAGACAGGAAATTCCACGCGTAGAATGCGAGCTCTACTTGCTCGCTCCGGTACTGCTGTGACAGCGANGTATCTCATTTAGGGCGTTTTGGGGGGTTTCACCTCTAGAGATCTTGGTCGACGTCAGGGACTTGAGGTCCTCTGACGGCTGTACAGATGATTCAGGGTCGTGTATGGTCTTGAGCTCACGAAGAGCTCCCTGGGGCGTCTCTGCCCTCTTCATGATTTTCCGATCTTTTTCTTTCAACGCGTGAGACAGGAAGTTCCACGCGTGGAATGCGAGCTCTACTTGCTCGCTCCGGTACTGCTGTGACAGCGAAAACTTGCTCTTTCCGCTGTTGACGGGGATCTCCAAGCTCCCGCTCTCTTCAAATTGTTCCAACAGGTTTGCGCCATTAGCTGCCATGCGGAAATCATTTAGCCGTTCGTTGAATCTTTCGATTTCCCGCTGAACGGAGGAGAAGTGTACCGCACACTTTGGTACCCTGCCGCTGGGGTTGTGCCTCCGTATCCGAAGCCAACAGCAGCACCACCATCTTCCATGGCACTACTATAATCTTGGTTGTGAGCAGCGGCTACTCTCACCTCTTGGGGGACAAAGCCCCCTGCTTCGCCGCTGTGTCGCCCTGACGGGCCAGACTCTCGAACAGGTTCGCGCAGGTACCTCCCGTCCTGCGCACTCCCGGTCCACGGTGCCCCTCCTTCGGCGTTCGTGGACTCCGCGGCGGCGCTCTCCCTAGCATCGCCGCGATCAGCGGCACCCTCCATGGTGCCAGCTGGCTCCTCCTTCTTGCTTGCCTTCATGGTATCTTCCACTAGCGACATTAGCTGGCTCATCTGATCCGTCAGCGAGCTAACTTGCGTCCTCAGGGCCACGAGCTCTTCTCTTGACCTCTTTCTGTCTTCCGCCGCAGAGTGGCTGGAGGAGTCACCCCCATCTTTGCGACCTGACATTCCTAACGGACTCTCCCTCGAGGGACTGACACTAGTGTGTTCGTATATGTCCTTTACTTGGAAGGGGAAGACGTTTTTTGGAGTTCGAGGGGTCCCCGCACATGCAACCATTTCAAGGTGTACATATGCCCCATCTGCATGCCCTCTGTTGTTGCCGGTAGATCTAACCATTCCGTATCCAAACACACGAACAATAGCAGCACTGAGTAAAGCACGCACCGTTGGAATTGTTATCGTCTTTGCCGCATCAGTCTCACCCGGTCAATACCCGTGGGTGAGTGGGATTATCTCTCCTTCCAAGCCCATCCCGGCCGGGTCTCACACACCGGTCTCGAGCTATGGCGCACGTCTCGCTGCCTCTCAAGCATGACTCGGCATGGAATTGCAACCTCCCCAAGTTTCAGTGGCTTCTGCCTCCTGTTCATATGACTCGACTTTGTCTGTTGCGCCATCCGAGCGGTGGTGGTTGAGCAGAAATGGAGGTCCAGTGTCGATTCACGAAATTTTGATGCGGATAGACATGCGCTTTTGAAATTTTTTCTGTGTGTCCGTCGTGCAGCATATTCATCTAACAAAGCAAAGATATGCATCTCTAGAAGGGTCAAGGCCTTGCTCGCGTAGCAATGCCCATCTTTCGGTGACAAACATGCCTTGTATCTGTGGATCTTCTTTGCGGCTTACACGCGATTGTTTGTTTATCTTGGAGAAACAGGTGTGTGCTGCAAAAATAGGAGGTGGGTGGTTTGTGTTGTAACCACTCGTTTAGGTCTCTGTCTACGTCGTATATCATGGTATATAGAGGTCGCCCGATGCGGAACGACACAGGCGGATCCCAAAAAATGGTGGGACCGCCTGTTCGAAAGATTACGTTTTCGAAGAAATTTCCAACATGTTTACTTAAACGAAAAACCCTGGACAGTGGCTACTGAAACTTTCACTACATCTTGGCTTGCACGATTCGTATCGCAGGAAGTGTTTTCGTGACGAGCAGTCCCTGGTTTGAAAATCATCACAGGTCGACATCCAACTCGAGACCCCCTGCCATATCAGCGGGTTGTAGTTGTCAAAACGAGAGCTCGTCCTCTTAGCTCGCTGATGCGCCCCTCCCGCTTTTTTTTCCTGTGCATGTGTGACGTCAGGGCTTGTTCTTCTGCACCAAAATGACCATGGAGGTTGCGGGATGGCGTGACCTCGACTTGGGCCAGGAAGCTGTGTCGCTATCGTCCCTGCCGACTCTGGCCGGAGGATCCAGAACGATCTCGGAATGTGTGAGGACGTTGCCCAGACCAACGCGGCTGTACGAAGCGGGACCAGCGCTTTTGTTCCTGTACGGGAGGAGGAGCCGGTCCTTCAAAGGAGTACTGGTGTGCCTGAACTCCAGCACGGACGGGGGCGCATCTCCACATTTGAAGGTTTTGGAGCTGACGCCTTTTGCGATTGGGGTGGGCGAAGCGACCATGGGCTTGTTCGAGGGGTCGCACGAAGCCTGGGACCAGTTTCTGGTGGCGGGCGGCGGTTCACTCGCCGGCAGGTGTCCTGATCTTGGGTGCCGCGGCGTTGCAGGCACGGATCTCACGTTGATATCGAGGCCATGCGCCGGGATTCGGCACTCGGTCCTAGAGGGGCGCGGTGACGTGCAGATGTCGGTGTCGTTCTTACCAAGGTTTACGACTATTGGAACCTTACAAACAGCGCCAGCCTGGGTACTAGGGACATCACCGGAGGATGGAGCCCCCGACACGGTGGAACCGTGGGATGGCGACGATAGCGCTCTTACAACCGACGAACCAGCGGCTAATGCTCGACGGGTCCGACGGAGGAGCTCAATGACCACCCAGGAAAACGGCGTGACTGACATTTACAAGGGAGATGTATCGTACGTACCCTTGGCATGGCTCCGTTGCTCGCCTGTCGCAAGTGACTGGATTGCAGGATCAATCCTGTGCGGACTGCAGTCTAAGCGCGGCAGACTGATCATGGTTGTCTACACCTCGACGGCCACCGCCTGGGTGTGGTTCGAAGGCGAGAGACGTGAGTCATCGGTTGTGATGGCAGCGTCCACGTTTTTGTTGGGTTCACTGTTTCTGTGGAACTACCAGGCGGTTGCCAGAGCCATTTCTCCCTTCGGCAACACCCGCGACCAGCTGATTACTCTCATCTTGGCGTCGCTGTCGTTCTTCTACTCCATCCTCGCCGGACTGTACCATCCTAGGGGAATGCTTGGTGGGGAGGTGTGGTGGCCCACTATTGCGATGGTGCTTCTAGTTTGTCTCCTGTCCGTCACGGCCCGGGAATGCCGCAGACGCGATAGGAGGGTCGACGCCAAGTCGTGGATCTCTCTGTGCCGTCGGGGGGCAGTGGATTTCCAGGAGGTTGGATGCCTCTTCGCGAGGTGCTGAGGGGCTCAGGTGCTGACTCCAGGGGCTACTACGATACCATAGGTGGTACGCAGCGTACTGCGAGGCTACAAACAAACACCCCGAGGGGTCAGCAGGTGACCTTGGAGAGCTCGGGCTGGTCGCAGGGGGAGTTGTCCCTGACAGGAGAGGAGGCCTTTGCACGGTGTGGTGGCACCGACCCAACCTTGGACGCGTGGCTCGCTGCTCTTGTGGGGGAGGTTTCGGAAAACGCGTTCACTCTCTTCAACCAGGGGCCCGCAGTAGTCGGCAGGATAAACGCATGCTTGGCGGCGTTAGCTGCTACCACACCCAAACCGCCCAGTTGGATGGAGGGCATTGTGACGTTGTCACAAGTCTACGCCCACGATGACAGGGAGCTCGTTTCTGCAGCGATGGAGAGGGGATGGACAAGTGACGAGTTCCTTCTTCGCCGGGTGGTGGTATCGGCTAAACCTGAGCGCACAATCTTGTCGCTTCCGGATGGATTTGCCCTAGAGGAAAACGTCTTCCCGGTGCTGGTCAGACCGAAGGAGTTGATAAAGATCGCTCTCCGGGGATCAGACTACGGTCTGCTCACGGAACAGCCTAACAGGCAGGCGGGGCTAGCGATTGAGTCCCGTAGCACCTTGTACGAAAGACGCTCCCTGCGGGGCATGGTTGGGATTCAGGACAGCTACGGATCGAACCATGTCGGGCCACTGGTGGTCGCCGCCCTCCTGGCCTGCTCGGTGGGTCCAGCTTGGCAAGGGTACGCAGTTCAGGTTCTGCCGCTTATCGGGGTGTTTGCCATGTGCGTGGTTGGCGCTACGAAGTATTTGAGACCCTGACTCTCGTGGTCGAGACGGCAAGAGGGCTTCTGTCAGACCAGGCTTGTGTGCTGGCAGGTTTGGTGGCTGGAGTGATTTCTTGGCACGTGATCGTCGTCGCGAGCGGTCAAAGCGTTGGTTTCTTGGTTGGGGGCATTGTAGCGGCCAAGGTGACTTTGGTGGTCGGGGTGGCAATGCTGAGGATGGTTTACTCGAAGCAGTGGTCGCCCGGGGTAGAGCTAGGGGGAGGGGACCATCAGATGGAGGGGCTCTGTCACCTCGCTCTGGAGGGACGACCTGTGTCATTTCAGTGCATAGGATAATGATTGTTCCAACAGCCACCTGTGCGGATATCCCCGCATTGGCCAGAGTACATGTGGAAGCAGGATGTTCTTAGCACGAGTGGCAAGGGACACGTGCTGGCTGTGGAGGGCCCAGCGCGTGGACGTACGTGAGGGCCAGTAGTGGGGGGACGGGAGGTCGGATCGATATTTTTTGTTTCACGTGTACAGTGTGCTTCCCTGAAACACAAAACGGCAACAATGTAAGAAAATACTAATTTTTGTAACAAATGCCGTGGATGTAGCAAGTTTGTTCCTTCTTCTCTCGCAGGGATGATGGTTTGCGGCGGATTACTTACTTGCTTCTAAAATTGGAGTTGTGCTTGTCTTGTGTTTCCCGCTAAAGTGAACATTTTCTTGAGGTCCCTCCGGAGTTGCGTTTCCCGGGGTATGAGTTGCAACGAGGAATGTTAGGAGGAGGATGGGGCTCTTCTTGCCGCAAACGAGCCACGCCTCCCTCAAAAAGTACGTCGTCAATATCCGCTATCGATTCCTTCGTGAAGCGGTGGACAACGGGGAATTCAATAAGTAAGGTGGGGTACGAGCAGTAAGGGAGAATCGTATGCAGATATTCGCCCGAGTCATTGCGGGGTTTTGTGGTACTACTAGTCTACTCTGCTCATCATCCAATAGCCAATCGAACAATTGGCTTTTTCAAGGTTCTCACGCACAAAAAAAGATCATGTCTATGCGAAGGTGTACCGATTCAGGTAAAAGTCAATCGACGGATACCCTGCGAATCGGGTCCTCCTTAACACTCTCCACCCACAGAATTTACCCTCAACTGGGAACCTCTTGTGGCCAGGATGGGTAATTCGATGGAAGTGTCACAAGGTTCTTTCTAGGATCGACTCCAAGAGGTGTTCTCAGGACTGACACACATTGTGCCCTTGGGAAAAGATGAAAATATCCAAGTCAGGAGAAAAAGTGTGCACCCAAGGAGATTCGAACCAGTATCCTGTCGCTGACGCCATAAGCGAAGGTGCACCGATTCAGGTAAAAGTCAATCGACGGATACCCTGCGAATCGGGTCCTCCTTAACATCTAGGCATTTAGTCGGTAGGTGGATGTGGCTGTCTGATAGGCCTGCTGTGGTGTGGAAGTTTTGACCACCAAAATCGCCTTGTTATTGTGTCTTTTGTGTCGACTGCACTGGCTGGAAAAGGTTTGGCTCGGTTGTTCCTTGGTTGAGACAATTTCGGCTAGAACAAGTGGGGTGGTGTTTTGTGAACATTCATGCAGGATCCGATATCGGCATTGACGCCGCAAGTGGGGAGGGTGATAAGGTGGGAAGTCCGTGGGGGCGTTTCAAACCTGAAAGAGTGTGGCAGAGAGTTATTTTTTGTTTAAATGGAGAAAGTATTTGCTACCGTCCGTGCGGTTGCTGTGTAGGTAGAAGTGAGTCGGACGTTTGATTGCCTGAAACCCCTTGAAAATATCGAGGCAGGGCGGTAAAGTTGTTGCCGTTGTGACGTATTGTACACATTGTTTCCGATGGAACTCAGCTGATGATGTGATCCCATTTGTAGTCGAATGTCCCGACCGTCACGACTGGGGGAGGGCACATGACAGCAAAAGTTGCGAAACACGTTCGAAGATAAACCGTAACAAAATGTAGAAAGATGGTATGTTTATATGGATATATATATGTGCTTTGCCTTCCGACAATTGCAGATGTACCTCAGAAAACTTGCACTTAATGTCTCATACTCTACATGAATATTAAACCAATACGACGTACAACAACATATGTAGGACTTATTTCTACTGTCGTCACTTATATCGTAAAAATATCTCCTATTCAATTTGAAATAATAATATTGTATTTGGTGTCTGTGTGGAAAAGAGGGTTTCGTCCTCGACAGACGTTGGGGAGTTTCAACCTTTATGAAGGTGTTAGACGTTGGGGAGTTTCAACCTTTATGAAGTTGTTCTCCACATTACCCCCCCCTTTGTCGAGGCTTCTTCTTGTTTGCTAGGCAAGAGAAGTCTTCTTGAGGTAACCGGAACCCGACCGGCTGGCGGCGAGTAGAACCATCTTTTTTCCAACAATCTTCTGTGCGTGTGTGCGGGTACACCACTTCCGCCACGCATTGCCAGAAGTTTCGAGTTCGATAGACAGTGCATCGTTTCTTGGCCCACCCACCGTTTTTCTTTTTTTTCCGGAAGAAAATTAGGTGAGCAGCGGGTTTGAACCCGTGTCTCTTGCAACCAAACGCAGACACCTGACACACAGCGACCGACTGTGATGTGATAGGACTCCAAGAGACCCGACGAGCGGGACAAGGCGCGATTACACACGACGGGTACGTGATCATCTGGAGCGGTGCCCGTGCCGGCACCAAGGACAAGAGGGGCGTGCACGGTGTGGGCATAGCGATTAAGGAGACCATGTGGGACAGCGTAGGCGAGGGAGGTAGGACGGTGGAGTGCATTAGCCCGAGGCTGATGAAGGTGCGCCTGCAAATTGGCCGCACCTGCGGAGTAACTTTCGTGGTGGGGTACGCCCCTACGGAAACTGCCCGCAACACCGCGGGCGGTGATGTCAATGCCAAGGACTCCTTCTGGACTGCTCTCGACGCAGAGATCCGGGAGGTCCATAGCCGTGACCATCTCGTGGTACTAATGGACGCCAACGCACGTACTGGCAGGAGGCGAGACGGATGCTGCGATGCCAAGATTATGGGCGCGTACGGACGCGACATTATGAACAACAACGGGGAACGACTTCTCGGACTGGCAGCAGACAACCGACTCTCCCTGATCAACACCTACTTCCGGACGCCGAAGGAGGAGTGCAGCATACGTTCCAGAGCTCCAACAAGGGGAAGGAGAAGCACCGCCTCGACTTCATCCTCATGCGACAGACGGACCGGCGTCTCGTACGTAATGCCTCCGTCAAACGTGTCGATTTCAA